AAAACACAAAATCAAGAAACGGACAGTAAAATTGAGGAACAGAAAAATCTCAAACAACAAAATGAAGATGATGCTGTTGAAGAACTTGAAAATTTTTTGAAAAACCAAGAAAATAACAATCACAGCAAGCAATTATTATGTGAAACATATGAATCATTTTCAAACGATATTGGTGAATGGCCAGAAGTTTTAACACTGGAGATGAAAAATATTTACATTAGAAACAAACCTCATCAGAATATTGAATTTATACACGAGGCAAAAAGAAATTTCAAGTACAGGGCAAAATCATTACAAGAACCTTGCATAAAACAGCATTTATGAAAGAAAAGGGTAATGGAGAAATTGTTAATAGAGAATGGCTTATTTACAACAGAAAAAATAAGTCTGTATGTTGCTATGTATGTAAATTGTTTTCTAACAAAAATACACAATTTTCACAAAGGAAGGTTTTGAGAATTGGAAAAACATACAAGGGCTTTGCTGTGAATATGAATGAAAGTAAGTGGTGGTACAGTGTATGTGTCTGGATGAGTTGCTGTGGTGTGCAACATCAGTTGTATCCCTCTAAAATTGCTGCTCTCATTAAGCTATCCCTAATGTTCGTGTATCTATCACAATGAAAAATTAAGTGGGTAGGCATTTTGTCCTCATGCAGTCTGTATAAAATGTCAGACATGCTACAGAGCAGGCCAGAATATAACCATTGGTAACTGTTCCTGACAAATGTCTGATGTTGTTTCACACAATACATTGTGTCAAAGTCTGACAAATTTAGGATAAAGTTGTGATTAGAAGAAGATATTGACAGCAAGTATATCCTCGATGGCTTCTCTATATCTTGGAAAAGATGAGCAGTGGCCTGCCACAGAATCATTTTCTGAGCATATTGTTCTAAAATTTCTTGGGCTGAATCTAAATAAAAGAATGAATGTCACAACAGACAACTTTTTATTTTCTGCAAACTTGCAGAAGACCTCAAAGAAAAAGGAGCAAGCATTGTTGGAACACTGAATTGCATGTGAAAAAAAAATGCCAATTCTTCAGAGTAAAAAATGTGATTTGTGTAGTAGTATCACACTTATGAAGAGTAAGGAGTATACACTTACAGTCTATCAATGCAAATCAGTAGAAATGTGCTTGTCCTTAGTACACTTCTTCCTGATGTGGACATCAGCAACAACCAGATGAAAATCTTTGAAATAATAGTTTGTCCACAACTCCACCAAATACTGGATAGATGTCCTTGATCAAATGGTTCATAAATATTCTACCAAAGTTAGACCAAGAAGATGGCTGGTCCAGATGTTTTATAATGTTCTTGACTAAGTTGCACTAAATGTCTAGATACTCTACAAAGCTGTAATAGGTATGATTAAATGCTGTGACTTCATTTAAAATTAGCCAAAGAGCTTTTTAAGTCTTTTTCAGTGAGCAGTCTATAAAGAGATAGATGAGAAAAACTAGCAGACCTACAGAAAATGCTCAATTGGATGCTGCAAGAGAAACAACACAAGTCATGCTTGCTTCCAGTGTTTGGAACTCATATATGGAAATGCACAGGAAAAAGTAGAAAAAACTATGGTGGCTTAGGCTGTTATACTTAGACCATTTTGAAATCTTAAAGTAAAGTTTATATTTTGCATTCATGTTAGCTAAGTTTAAATAAAAATACTTAAATTTATACAAAAGCATGATTCTCTTGTAATCGTTATTTAAAATTGTCCAGGAAGTAATTTTATACCAATAAAAACAAAGAACTAGTCAGAATCCACTAAAAGTTGATTGCAATCTTAATTAAATACAGCAAAGCTAATTGCAAAGTTACTTTATAAAGATTTCACTTTCAATAGTTACCTAATTATATCAACTTTTATAATTTCTAAATCTCTCTGGATAAAGATCTGTGCATTTTCAGGGGAAGGAAAAAGCAACATTTTTGAGATAATCCTTTGACAGTAAAAAGTTGTCTAGCTATAGTCAGAGTAACTGAACCTATTCATAAAGGTTTGAATATGATCTAATTCTTGCAACTTTTTGCATAAGTTATCAAAAATGCTGTATACTTTTGAATATTTGAAAGTTGTCATTGGCAGCTTTAGCATTTTTTCTATTCATCATCTACTGTTTTTATATGATATTGCGGAACAACTGGCAGACAAATGCACAAAAATGAAGTCAAGGTAAGTGCAAGGTGCTCTATCACACTTGATTTGCTATTCGGGACATTCTAATTTTCAATGCAAGTGTTGAGTGTTGAAGTCAACAATTTGACGTCATCAACAACGTTCCAACTCGAGTACAAAGTTCCCATAATTCCATTCTCAGCAAGATGGATTCCATTCAAATGTCTTACCAATTACCCACAATTCATTGGAAAGTAGCAGTCAACATATCTGTTGAGTGCTGAGTGTGTTGAGACAGCACTGACAACAGCGCCACTTCAATGTTGAAAAAAGGAACGACTTTTAACGAACGTTGAGATCAGTGCTGAGTCAGCATTGAAAATTGGAATGTCCCAATTGATAATTCAAACTAAAAATACTTATGATATGTTATATTACTATGGAAGTCTTTTTAATAATAATAATTATATAAAATTATTATTATTATTTGGAAGTATGTAATTACTTTATGCACTATATTTATTCAATTGTGGCTTAAACTTTGCCATATATCATTTAGCAGAAGGCATTGTTGTTGTAATGCAGTGACTTCAGTTTGTTAGTAGTTTACTGTACTTTGCATAGCTATATATAAAAATGTAAAAATTGGAAATAACTGAGAGTATATTTTTTACAAATACTGCAATGTAATTGTATTGTAACAGTAATTTGCTGATGACAAATAATCATGTAATTGGTCACAACTATTTCAGCCACAAATAAGTGAAAGCATGAATACCAAACATGCAAATATCAAGAATTATCCTATACTTCTTGATAAAACATGGATATATGCAAGAGATGTATCTACATCAATGTAGCAAAATATCAAAATTACATCTGCAAAAAAAGTATTTTTTGAAAGCTATTCTATAGGCTTAAAAACACTGTTAGGTAAAAGAAGCTAGTTGCCTGAATACTGTTCACATAGAAAATTTGGAAGGCTTTCTTTATGATTCATCTTCAGATTTTATGTTCACAAAAATTCTGTGGACTTTTCTTGAGAAAGGTCTTTTAATAAGACCGAAAACGTTTGAAGTTTTCTAATAAACGTCGACTGCAAGAAAAGGTGTTGTAGTAAGTGTTTTTTGATATTAAAATATGCAGTCTAGAACGATGTATAATGAGATAAATGAAGCCATATTTAAAAAGTGGTTTGAAAGTGTACTTTTCAAAGTTATCAGGTTTGAAAGTGTTATTGTTAATTGATTAGAAGCTAAAAATATTATGTATAGGAATAACTTGCTGAAATCAAAACTATTAGAGTTGATATACTCTATACTCAGTTAAACATTTATATAATAAATATTAACTTGACGAATCTTCATTTTAAGACTTTCATTATATCACTGTCAGTTAAACCCCCTCAAAATGGTGTAAAGTCAGATTAAGAAATTTGTGACTCAACATAAATTATTTATTTAAATTGTGTAATATTAAAAACCAACAAAACAAGCACTCAATTAGTTACTATAAAAAAACTGGAATAATTACATTCAGCATGTAATAACTGTGGAAGATGAAATTGCTATTCACCACAGCAGTCTCATAAAAACTATACACAACAGAGAAATTCTAATTACATTTTGGATTAAGCATAAAAATAAGCAGAAATTACCAAAAATTTTACATATAACAAAAAACTATGAATATATGGTCAAAAAAACATCATATAAAGTTATATGAGTTTTGTCTCCATATAAAAAATCACTCTCTGTCATGGCAGTTTTGAACACTTCCATAACAAAGATACACTGCAGACTGTTTTAACTGCTGTCAAATAATTTCTATTATGTTCAATAAAATTTTTGGTCATAAAATAATAGTTAATTGGCATGAGGTAACATATTTTGAAGAGTTTGCTCATACACAACCATGTGTGAGTGGAACATTTAAAAACCTTACCGTCTATTCAATCTAAATACCATATATGAATTATAAAAAAATTTTATGATCCTTCAGAGAAAATTTAAATGAACATCTACAATACCAGAATTGTTTTGAAATTGAGTAAGTATCAAATGAACTTTTTTTTTAACATATGTTAATTCTAAAAAAATTTTTTTTCTATCATAATTTGTTAATAATCCAAAATAATTGGAGCACACCACTGGTAAACTGGCTTTAATACAGCTGGATTAGCAAAACCAAAGATATAGTCAATTTGACACAGTTATTGGCTTGCTTATCCAGCTGTATTAATGCCACTAACCAGGCAATGCACTCAATGTCTTCCCAATTATCTCCAAGAAAAATGAAAGAATTTATATTTTAAAACTTAAGTATGTCTCAATATAAATAAAGATTTTACATAAAAGTAGAGAAATAACTATTAATTAAAAAATCATAATTTATCATTTAAAAACATGCACTTGTCCTTAATTACTTATATATATTATGTCTTTGTCCACTTTGAAAATTCTTGTGAACCAGGACTTGTTATACCAAGGGAAGTGAATCACATAATTTTAGGTAAAACACCTTTAATATAACATAATCCTGCTCAGTTCATCTTTAGCTTGCATTTCCTCATTTCCCTCAGAATGTAGCTTTTTTAAATTCAGTTTCTTTACATTTAAATACATACTTCTTGGTGTTTTACCTGGAAATTGAGTGATTCACTTCCCTTGGTATAAAATCCTAGTTCACAAGAACATCCAAAGTGGACAAAGACATAATATTTATAATTTATCAATGGCAATGTATTAAATATGAATAGTTATCCAATACCCATATTATGATCAAAAATAATAAATAAAATAAAAGATATCAGTATAAAATACACAGTCCATTAATAATGATAATTTTATAATTGCTAAAATTATAAATGATTACCTTTAAATCACATGTTGTATTTAATAATAAATTACTTGGTTTCAAGTCACGATGAAGAACATTAGCTGAATGAATGTATTTCAAGCCTCGAAGTATCTGATATAAAAAATAGCAGATATGATCATTGCTAAGCCGTTGTGTCTTTAGTAGCTTGTATAAATCTGTTTCCATTAAACATTGAACAATATAGCTATTTCACAGTTAAAAGAAATAATGCATACAAAAGTATTTCTATTGTTTATATAATTTATTATTGATAGAATGAAATTTTATATTATATTAATTTTAATATTTAATATTAAAATTATAAATACAGATATCCATTGTATAACATGATAATTAGGTTCCAAAAAAGTGCCATGTTACGTGAATCCATGCTGAATAAATCAAAGGATTAGTACAAAACATAGGGTTAGGTTCCAAAAGTTAACAAAAGTATACTATTCTTGCATAAAGTCATACATTATTTGCATAAAGACGACATAACCCAGGATTATCTTCATTTGAAGCTATAGAAAACTTACAAAAAATATAATTTTTTGAGTCTATTTGTTTTTATCCTTTTCACAGACCATCTCAGAAGTAACAGTAAATTAGCTTGAAGATATAAAAAATCTTCTTAAAACATCTTTAATTTTTTAATAATCTATTTATGACGTTTTAAAAAGATTTTTTATATCTTCAAGCTAATTTACTGTTACTTCTGAGATGGTCTGTAAAAAGAATAAAAACAAATAGACTCAAAAAATTATATTTTTTGTAAGTCTTCTATAGCTTCAAATATACTATTCTTTTTCATTAATAAGAGAAATATGTTTATTAAAGCTATCAATAACTAACTAATAATCACAATTAAAAGTATTGTATTTTTATTATAAAAATTTTTTTATGGATCACAAAATAAAAATATGTTATTAATCGAAAATTTGTCCTAGTGTTTGTTTATTTGAGTACTGAGCAATTTTTTCCAGAATTTGTGTTTGAATATTGAATTGTTTGAGTTGGAAACAGTTCAAGTACCGGGATACTACTATATTTCATTCATTTCAATCATTTTTACAAATAATTACTTGCCTATGGTTAAAAATGTTTAATAACAATTACTTAAAAATATTTAAATAAACTTTATTAAATATGAAGATTAATCTATAAAAGAAAACATAGTGACAGTCTTAAAGGCTAAAGGCTGAAAGTAATGATGACAACACCTGGTTGATAGGAAAGTGAGGAAAAAGAAGAAAAAAATTGTATCATCAATTTCATTTAAGTAAACTTGATAAAAGGCACAAAACAAATTAAAAATTTCAATATTCTAAAATTCATGGGCAAATTTGAGACAGCATGCATGCTTACTTGAATAAAAAAAATATTGAATAATGGAGTCTGCACTTAAAAGTTGTGAAATTTTGTACAAAAAATTTCTCAAATTCTCAAACCATTTTAAATTTAATTTACACATATTTAATATGTCAATCTTGTCATATTAAATATATGTAAATTAATTTAAAATATTTATTAGCCATCCTGTAAATATAATGCAACTTTATTATTTGTCTTATTTATTCTATTTCTCAAACCATGTTAGAGCAAAACTGTATTGTGGAAATGCTGTGTTGTACAAGGGATACTTGTATTATACATAATTCAATATTTATAATTTATATAAAATGAAATTTTTCAGTATTAAATTAAATTTTTAAAAAATCTTGATATCTTTCAAAAAATGATTATTCAAATAATTATTACTTTAACCAAATATCAAAATTTATTTGATTATACAGTAGAACCTCAAAAACTCGGCTCTCGATAACCCAGCACTCCGGATAACTCGGCCACACCCTGGCAGGGCAAAAATATCCTTAGTTAATTAATTTTCATTATAAACAGCTTTATAAAAGTATAAAAGCTCTCATAAAGTATTTTTCTGAGGTCTGTCTTAGCAGGTAAGTTACTGTACACAGTGTATTCATTAATTTTCATTTTCATGTAGTAAAGGCTCTATGCCTTCATAAAAGATGTACTTTTCCTTTGTTTAAGGGTATTTGGGCTGTTTATTCTCTGTTATATTCTCAAGTAAACAATACATACAAGTACAGTACAGTATTTTCTGAGGAAACACTCGTACTTATTTTTTTTAACCCCATTCCCGATAACCCGGCGTTTTCACAAACTCGGCCACCCTTCGGTCCACATTAGGCCGAGTTTTCGAGGTTCTACTGTACTAATTAATTAAAACAACTTCTTACAGGATTACTGGAATGTATACTTCACACTCGAGAACATTAAGATTTTTAAAACTAGTAAGATTTGAACTTGGAATGCAAAGAACAATATTTACAAATTATTTTAAAATCTATGGAACAATCTAAATACATATATACAACTTTTATCCATGTACGTTACACTATGGTGATAGAACTATATCAATACCATAACAGCAAATAATACGATATAAATAAAGGTATAGAAAAAGGTTGCTAACTGCTGGTGTTACCTGTTTTTTCATAACAGCTCCTCCATGCACAGAAAACCTTAATGGCTTCATTTGTGTTAATACAATTGCCATGTAAGCTGGCTTTGTAAATTTCTAATGCCTCAAGGTTTCGAAGTTGTTCAGTTCAATGTGACAGTCTGACCAGTTTGGCTTTATGGAGGTCAGGGTCTGTGGCATAGGTGGATAGGGCGATGGTGTGCCTTTTGTAAGTGATATCATATCTGTGCTCCTGTAATCTTTTACTTAGAGAGCACTTTGTAGACCCAATGTACACTAAATCCCTTTGAAATCTGTTGTCTCTGAGGGAAACCATGTATATGCTAAGTGCCCGACTTTTGTAGGTCCTGTCTTTACCGTTGCACAATAGCCCATATACCGTGTTGGATCTCCTATAGGCAATCTTTGTGCTCGTACAGGCAGCAATTTCTTTGTAGATGGGGCTTAGAAGTTGGTTGTATTCCACCACTGCATGTGATTGGTTATTATTGTGGTCTTGGGTTCCATTGGGCATTACCTGTGTGTTGGATATGTTACACATGGCTAGCATGCAGTGCAGTGTATGGCATGCAGTGGTGGAATACAACCAACTTCTAAGCTCCATCTACAAAGAAATTGCTGCCTGTACGAGCACAAAGATTGCCTATAGGTGATCCAACACGGTATATGGGCTATTGTGCAACGGCAAAGACAGGACCTACAAAAGTCGGTCATTTGGCATATACATGGTTTCCCTCAGAGACAACAGATTTCAAAGGGATTTAGTGTACATTGGGTCTACAAAGTGCTCTCTAAGTAAAAGATTACAGGAGCACAGATATGATATCACTTACAAAAGGCACACCATCGCCCTATCCACCTATGCCACAGACCCTGACCTCCATAAAGCCAAACTGGTCAGACTGTCACATTGAACTGAACATCTTCGAAACCTTGAGTTATTAGAAATTTACAAAGCCAGCTTACATGGCAATTGTATTAACACAAATGAAGCCATTAAAATTTCCTGTACATGGAGGAGCTGTTATGAAAAAACGGGTAACACCAGCAGTTAGCAACCTTTTTCTATACCTTTATTTATATCGTATTATTTGCTGTTATGGTATTGATATAGTTCTATCACCATGGTGTAACGTACATGGATAAAAGTTGTATATATGCACTTAGATTGTTCCATAGATTTTAAAATAATTTTTGAACATGTTGTTCCATACATTCCATATGTTTTTTAAAAAAATAATTTGTAAATATTGTTCTTTGCATTCCAAGTTCAAATCTTACTGGTTTTAAAAACCTGAGGAAGACTGGAGTACAGTTGAAAACCTTAGTTTTTGATTAAAGTGTTATTACTGGACTCTTAAGGGGTTCTAGAGTGTGAAGTATACTAATTAAACTATTACTAACAATACATTTTATGTATGCTATTTTTAATTAATATTGTAAAGGATACACATCTTTCATTTGGTCAATTGTAGGAGCTCGAAGAATATCTCTTATGTCAATAATCTAAAAATAATAAAATATAGAACTTTTTTAATATAAAATTTTGTAAGAAGTATTGATCTGAAATGTAATAAACAATCAAGATTTTTTGATTAAGAATATTTAATTTTCTTTCTTTTTCATGAAGTTTCTGAAAATACAGAAACACAGGAAATACAGGAATAATCTGGTATCAGACTAACAAACTTCTACTGTATCAAGCAATATTATCTATGAGTAAAATAATTACTGACAGATATTAGTCACTATCAGCAATAAAAATGTCAATACATGATTTAAATTTTCAGGACTGTGGAGTCGAAGTCGGAGTCGTGGAGTTTTGATGTTTTAGCCGGAGTCGGAGTCGGAAGATTTTTACGCGACTTCCACAGCCCTGACAGGGCTGTTGAGTTGGAGTCGGAGTCGGAGTCGTGGAGTTTTGGTGTTTTAGCCGGAGTCGGAGTCAGAGTCGGTAGATTTTTACGTGACTCCATAGCCCTGTAAATTTTACAGTTAAGTTTTACAGAGCATGGCATTATGATGAGGCACATTTTAAAATTAAATATCTTTAGAATACTTGATGAGAAAATCTCAAAATCAATATCAGTTTGTAACCTTTAGTTAAAAATTTTAATGACCCAGATTTGCATGCCAAGATGATGCAATGGAATGACATGCCCAACGTTTTTGAAGACAAAGGTAGCAATGCTGTCACAGTAACAAGCAAACATTACATCAATATGCTAACTTCAATTTTCTTTCTGAATTCTGACAGTTTTATCTTGCAGACATATGGTTCCAATTAGACAGTGCCATTTCTACATAGCAAGAGCATCAATGAGAATCATCAGCATCCAAGGTTTGCAGAAATCAAATGCCTTGTACACTCCAAATTTAAATATTTTTGATTTTTTCTTAGTAGATATCTGAAGAACAGAGTATTCATAAATATGTCCTACATACTGCAGAAATTAAAACAGAATATAACTTTGAAAATTTGTTATTCAGTTGGACATGCTTGATAAAGCTATGTTTTGCAGGGCACAGGAATATTAGTCATCATGGAACACACTTGTATGACATCCTTTTCAAGAAGTAATGACATAATCAAAAATTCCAGTGTTTCATGTATCAGGTAACCAAAAAAGTTCCGTCGTTTTTTGTTGAAAGAAAACAAACATAAAAATGTATAGGAAATAACACAATTTATTTATCAAAATAATCACCCTCACATTCAATAACCTGTTCCCAACGGGAAACAAGCTTATAAATTCTATTTTTATAAAAGTCACGATTTTTAGAGTTGAAAAACTTCCCTAATTCCGTTTCTATAACCCCTCTATTTCTAAACTGTCAATTTCGCAGATGATTATCTAGGCTTAAAAATAGGTTATAGTCAGAAAGGCTAATGTCAGGGAAATAAGGAGGGTGAAAAAGAGGTTCCCATCCAAGGGTCTGAATTGTGTCAGAGGTCACGCGCGCAACATGATGTATATAGCATTATTGTGTAGGAAAAGAACGCCTTTATAGCTCACTACAGCTGATGGTTTTTTCAAAAGTGATTGGTGAACTCAATGCAGTTGGTCACTGTAGACATTAGCAGTAATAGTCTGGCCAGATGGTATAAGTTCATAATGAACAATCCCATTTGCAGTCCACCATATGCACAATATTGGCAGGTGCCAATTGATGAAGTATCCATTTACTGAGCTTGTAAACTTTCCCAAGACAATGCAAATGTAAACGGACAGTTTCATCACTTATGGAGAACCTTTTGTGCTAACATCTGACAAGTTTGAGCAGAATATTCTTCGATTGCAGCTTGTAATTCAACATCATGCTCATGGCGCATCTTTAAGCGACTCATTGCCGGAAGAAAATTTTGTAAACCATCTTTGGGTGGTGTGAGTGCTAACAGAACCTTGTCCAAAAGCCTGGCATATTTTTTGAGCCATTTGCACAGCACTTGTTCTAAGTTTAAACTCATACAACATACAAGCACGAATTACAGAGTTTGGAGTACTCATCTTCAAGTCAATTTTTATACTATTAAGAGATAACCTTTCCACTTCTCTTTATATAAGGTGAGTCAGCATTAAATCTTGATTAACATATTGCTGGAATTTTAGTGTCATCTATTGTGTATTGCGTGTAACATTCTTTAAACTTTGTAGTTTCACAAAAAACAACAGAACTTTTTTGGTTACCTAATATATTAGCTATTAATTTGGTGCTTCAAATAAAGCAAGTTTGAAAATATTCAAATTTAAAATGTGTCCCACACCCTATAATATGAATGTTTAGTTCTAAATAAGGAAATACATACAGAACTCATAAATTTGATTGGCCAATAATTCAGTTAGTTGTCAAATCACAGAATGTGTTACATTTTGAAATTGTTATATTTTAAAATTTTCAGACTCTAAAAAGTTCAAAAATAAAATTTTACAATACTAAAATCTAAGTTGTCAATCTGTATTTAAGAATAAGATCATTACTTTAGGCATGAAACATTGATAAAATTTTTAATTTTATATCATGCAACCAGAAGCATAATTTTATACAAAATCAATCTTCAACTTAATGATGCCATTATCCATTCCCAGGATTCAAAATTAGTGGATGTCCGGTTGTCCAGGCAACCAAAATTTTATTTGAACAACCAAATGTAGAAAATGAGAAACTATCAAAAATGAGAAAATAAATGAGGTTGTCTACTGGGCAACCTCATTTATTAACTATTTTGTACTTTGTGCATATTTTATCCTGTTGAATATGTAATATATAATAGTAATAGGTACTTTTTTCAGTAGCAGTAGTAGTAGTAAAAACAAAACATCTAAGTCTGTTTGAGATGTCAAACTCCTTTAAGACAACAAATTGAACACAGCTACCAAGAAGTACAAGAACAGAAAGCACACAAGATAAGAATTAAGGATTGGCAATTGGAAGAAAAATATCAATTTATGAAGTAATAGTAATTTGTATGAACTGTAGAATACTATTATATTTTAAACATTTTTGTTTAACTTAATGTTATTATATTATTTTAAATTCATTCATTTTACTCTGTTGCTTTTAAATTATAAATTTGATTTTAACTGAAATAAAATATTTTCTAAGATATGCTACTAAATTAAAAACTCATCTTTAAAATTAACATTTTGTAGTATTAATTCAATTTTATTTTTGTTTTATCCAAAAATATATAAGAAAAGGCTCATTTTTGCCAGGAACAATAATTTTTCAAAAACAGACAAGTTTTTGTTTTATTCATATTTCAAATTGAACAAGTTGTACTGTGTTTTAAATGCAGAAAAATTATAGGCATCTTAAATAACAGTTTTGCTTTAATGATTAAATAACAGATGCTAATGCCTGATTCAGCTGATTAACAAATTCTTTAATTTGTTAATCAGCTGTTTATATTTTCATTTAACTTACATGGAGTATTAAATAATATATTTTACTCAATATTTGATTAGTTGTTAATTTTATGTACAGTACCTATTAAAAAAATTTTAGTACAGTCGACCCCCCTATAATTACGGTCCCTATAATTACGATTCCTATAAAACTACGAAAAAATTGCTATCGGTATCCGTAAAAAATAGTAAAAGTTCCCTATAAACACCTCAAATGTCATCGGGCAGCCGAACTACTTTCCCGCCGTCCGTAGCGCCACGCTACGGAGAGATTTCTATCGTCTGGACAGTATTATATAAATTATATATAAATTAGGTACTGTACATATAATTATATATTAATTATATATAAATTAGGTACTGTATATATAATTATATATTAACTTATTGTAACTTTGTTATAATTAAATATATAATTTCCGCCGTCTAGCGTGGCGCCACGCTACGGAGATTTTTACGCTAACTATCGTCTGTCAGTATGTAAATTAGGTACCGTAAGTCTAATACAGTACTGTAATTTTATACATTTCTTGTGAAAGAAACATTTCTTATTCAACGGCGATTAAAATTATTTATATTAATGATGTCTCCGAAGTTCTACGAAGTTTTCACAGAAAAATAAGTTGTTAGAAATCGGCCGCTCTTTGCTGAGCTGTTCCGCGACGAAAACAATGTTGAGCAATGGCAATGTCGAATGGTGACACTCGGTAAGTAATCCTACAATTTTTTGTTTATAGCGTAGTTTATACGGATTATTCCCAAAAAATATATACGTATTTTGGAAATGTTGAGTCGGATTAGTCTAGAATCGATTAATTTTATGGAAGAAAACCTTTCAATCAGCCGTAGTCCGTAAACTTTACACGTGTCGGGCTGTGATTGGAACGACTCGTAAGAAATCGGATTCCTAAAAAATGGAACGTATCTATGATCTTATAGGGGGGTCGACTGTATATGATCCTAAATAATACTGTAGCCAATTATAGCTTTTCATACATATTTTTTTATTAGAATTCTTTTATGTGAGGTTTTAAATATAACTTTACTTCATTAAATTTTGAATAAGAATTTATAAGTCTATTCAATGTTTCTAAGTTGGTACCTACTGTAAACAAATACCTTATAGGTTGCCTGAGATGTTAAAGATTCTTTTTATGTATAGATCTAGAGAACAGCTATATATTAAGCAAGCAATAAAAATCTTTATTTTTTATGTAATCATGGTAAATTTTTTTGTATTACCTAGTATTTTATAAAAATGATATGCACTCTATAGTTTGAACAACTAATTTCATTACAAAACAGCCAGAAAGAAACAGCTAGTTGCCCACTTAACAACTAGTAAATATTCTTAATTTCTAACTCTGCATCCCCTTGAAAATGAAAATGAAAGCATACAAAATTAGACATAAAATAGTTTCCAGATCTTAAATTTTAAGTTAGCAAAATGTGATCTCAAAACTACTTTGACTCATAAAAACACAGAATGTATTAAGTCTACAGGAATTAAATCAGAATAAAAATAAAATTGAACTTAGCAAGAATTTCAAGTTAAAGAAGTTCAATTTATTGAATCTATTGTATCACAAAAATAAAATTGTAATGGATTTACATTTAACAAAAACAAAACTAAATGATAAATGGATTACCCAAATCGCTTTACATGATAGAATTGAGGAAAAAAATCTGATTGTCCCAAGATTAAATAGATCAACTAATAAATGTATTGAATTTTAAACATTTTAGAAATTTTTTTACAACAGCAAATAATAGAGATGTTTGTAGATCAGTTGTATCAAGATTTAACTCACAATAAACAGATGAGAAAAAAAAAGAAAGCAAGAGATTTAGTGAATTAGGAGCAGTGAGCACATTTGTTCTTATTATATTACTTATGCTTATGTATAGGATAAAAACAAAAATTAAATTTAAATTTAAAATATTTGAAATTAAACAAATTCTCTGAAAGTGGACTGAAAAATTTTAAAATACTAAAACATTTTTTAATAGTAATAAAAACTCCATATAACAGAAGTATAATTTAATTACTACAAAAAAATGAAATCTCTACTCTTAAATTAATGTAAAAAATAATTTTATTTACATTGTAACAAATATACCATATGATATTTCTAAATTAATTTATTTTAATTAATACAGAAAACTCACATTTTCATGGTTAAACCTTGTAAGAATTTTGATTTCACGTAATGTTCGTTGACAGTATGTCTGATGCTCAAAAGGTGAAATTTTTTTAATGGCAACTTTCTGTTTTGTTACATTATCATATGCAGACCTATATAAATAAAAATAACAAAGTTAATATAAAAATATTTATCATACTATCTAAAATTAGAATGATACATAAATCTTTTGCAGTACATTGTAAGTAAAATTTTAATTTTCAGAAACAGAAAAACATAAAAATAAACATTATTATGCAATCATTAAAATCATTCAGCAGTATACATTTTAATGTAAAATAAACTTAATTTCTCACAAATTTTTATAGGAAAAAATTATGATTAGTTATAGGATTGTTAATGCCAAAGAAATAACTTTGCTATCCTACCATTTAGGCATTAAAGAATATTAACATCTCATCATGGATGTATAATAGTGTCTAATCATGTCTAAAACTATCAGACTTGATTTCAGGTATATTAGTTGACTTATTAAGAACAATTCCACCTGTTAGGGTAGGACTATTTACAGATTTAACAAGATACACAAGTGAACACAATACGATAAGCGATAACTAACATGCATATTGTACTTTCATAGTGTAAAAAAATATTGAGTTCTTTATAATGGTACAAATTAAGTTTTTTGCATTTATTGCATGCATATATAGTTTTACAAATAATTATTTTTAAATCAGTTGTATCATCACTTGATATGATTCAATTATTCAACTGAGATCATATGTTCAATTGAGTTTGGAGTTTGATCTGAAGATGAGCCAGGTGGACTTGAAAAATATTTTATACCAAAAAAAAGGGGGCGAAATTAACATAGAGTCAAATAAAACTAAAATTTTAAAATATGAACTTCAAAAACTAATTGTTTAACATCATTCCATAAAACAGTACAATTTTGTACTACATTACATATATCTTGTATGTTTTTGAATAGGCCTATCTATATTTTGTAAGCAGCATTAAATGCATACATTTATTACTTTTCTAATATATTTAGATTATATTTTAAAAATGTTTTGAAGTTGGAAATGATAAATCTCTACAAATGTTTAACCAATACATTTCTGTTGATATATCTAGAATAAGGCCAATATATATTATGTATTTATTAAGATTCTTAAAACACAAAACCCAACCTAAATTTTTTTGAGAGTCAAACATTTTTAAAGAATTCTTTAAAAACTTGAGCATTTCTAGGTTACATATCCATTCTCAGAAGTCTACTACAGTAAAAACTATTCACTAGTTAAACATCTGAATCCAAAAATTTTAACATTTTTTGAAGTTTTTAAAAACTTTGCTATAGAAATAGTAATTTTGGATTGGATTGTAAATTATTTCTCATCAGATATTATCCAATGAGTCATCCTATAAAAAAGAAAATGAGTCTGTATGATCAATACAAGGAAATTATTCTTTTTCAACATTTTTATACTTGTTTTAGTTTTGATAAAAATCATAAAAATAAATACTCATTCCTCAAATATTTAAAATAATTTAAATGGATGATATTTAAAATAATTTAAATGGATGCTTAAATTACTGATATTTTCTTTGACTTCTCCTCATACATTATTTATAAATGATCCATAAATGAATAATATCCTATTAAAAAAAAAAAAAAGAGCAATAACATTAGAGCAATAGAGAAACTTTATAGAAAAGAATATGTGAAAAGATATAAAAATATATTAAACTGCATAAAACAATAAATGAAAACTTGAACTAAAAGCTAAAATATTATATTCACCACATAATGTTAAAACCTTATTTTTAGCAGAATCAATTTTAGGTTACAATCTTTACAATACTTTTAACTTTACATCTTTCTAAGCTTTAGAATTAGCATTTTGTGATAAAATTATATTTCTGCAAAATAATTATTTTTATAATAAGATTCTGTTCATTTATTTACTTAAAATTTTCTTTTGTAAATTTATGGTATTTGAATTTTGTATATTCTCAATTATTTACTTAACATTTAAAATTTGAAGCTGTTCAAATATGCTTAATGTTCTAATTTTTCCAACATTCTAATTTTTATTCATGACTTGAGATGCTTAAAATGTAAATTAGGCAAAAAAAATTCTTTTTTATTCAATAAATCCACTTTGTATGTTGCATTTTAAAGATAAATTTTCAAAAAGTCTAGTTTTTGATTTAGTACACATAGGCCTAATACAATAAAAAATCTGTTTCTAAATACGCATAAAAATCTTTTATGATATTAAAAATGGCAAGGTCTTTTGCAATTAACTACAATCAAACATTAAATTAGATACAGAATTAAGATATCAGTTAATTGCTGTGCATAGTTATTTATTATTTTTAGATTTCATATATGAGGTTGTCTGCATTTTACTCTGTAAAATAAACATAAGATTGAGCCAAAACTTCAAGATATTTAAATATTTAATATACAAATGTTTTTCAGAACTAAATTCATATCATCATATTATAAAACATTTTTTTTTCAATTGGATATTTAATTAACATTTTTAAACAGAATAACAGATTAACAGTTTAAATAAACCATTATGACAAGTTTAATCTTACTCTTATTACATATTTTAAACATTTCCTTTTTCTATTCTAACATTAGAAATAGAATTTTCCTAAAACATTTAGATAATTAGATATTTCTTTTAAATTCTGGCAAACAGACTGATATACTTTTAAGTAACAGATATAGAATTACTTTCAGGTATGAAATAGTGTATTTACTATGTGCAATAAACTTACTAATTAACTTATATATAATGCATGACAGCTAATATTTTATATAATTTCTGACACTATCATCCATATTTTTAGAAAGTGGTTTTAGTTTTGACAAAATTATACATACTAAATAGATTTATAATTTGCTGTTTGGAACTATGCCTTTATTCCTACAAGATCAAAATTTTATTTTACAGTGTCAACCAAAGATACAAAACACATCACGACTAATGTATCTATCAAGGTAAAGAATCGAATAAAGGATGTCGAATAGTCTGGTGTCATTATTTAACAATTCATTGCATATAAAAAGCTTATAGGATTTATGATTTTATAACATTATGAAATTTTGTTTCTCTAATTTAAATTACTTGTCAGTATTCTGCGACAACTTCCGGTAAACACTACAACAAACACAAGCTAAATCATTGTATTATCCTATAAGTAAACAAAAATTAATCTTAGATTAATAATTGTTTATTTTATCTTCAGAAATTTACAAGACTAAAGTTGTCTCATAACTTTAAACAAAACCACCATAAATTCAACATCCTCTTCAAAATTTCATGCATTTCTAAGTAAATAAAACTACAATGAATGTACTTGAATTAATCTTGTAGATAAACTCTGCTTTTTATCATACTGGTCATAGTTTAACATCATAAGACGATTAAATCCAGCAATTACTAATTAAACTTTGTGCCGAATTAAAAGCTGCAGAACATAATTCTCTATTATCAGTTAAGTTAATAAATAAAGTTTACAAAATGCGCTTTATTTTTCAATTGTTTTGATGTTTAAGCATACACGTAATATGCACATCGAATACTTACACAACCATTCCATAAGCTCCCTCTCCGATGTAGGCTAAATTAGTATAACGAGGACCAACTTCAAAAACCTGATTTCTGACAACCTCAATTGTTCTGGCATCGTTTCCTTTGGTCGCCATATTTTTGATCGGTTGAAGTTAGGCTTAAGACAAGGCGGATATAGTCACTTTAAAGCCGTCTGGCTATCCACGTGATTTTCTTATTTCTCATTACATTATGAATCAGTTATATTATCCGAACGTTTCTCTCTTCTGCGATCTCTCCAATTACAAATCTAAACAACAAATATTTTTCTGGACTTTGATATAGTTGACAGACGCCAAGATTGCCCCCGAATTCTGTTTTCTCACTACTAGATGGCGCTGTAGAAATTTCATTGTAGTATTCGGAAAATGAAACGATTTTGATGTATTGTACTGTGCGTCAACGAATTATTTAATTGTGTTTATAAAAAAATAAAAATAAATAAATTTTGATTCTTTTTTCCGAATGACTTATAGTGCGGTTGATAAAATGTAAGTGTCGATAACCAAAAGTGACAGATACAATAATGATTTTATTACTGAGTAAGCGGATTGAATACGTCACACATTACGATATACTGTAGACGTTTTCTTCCTGCTAAAGGTACAGAACGGTTGTAATAAAAAGATCCCTTTTAACGCTGCCTTAAGGGATGTATAGTAGTCCAAACGCAAGTAAATTTTATAAGCTGACGTTTCGGGATAAGAGCGTGTCCCCGAAACGTTAGCATGTGAAATTTTATCGCGTGGGAAAACATTAAACAATGCGAGAAATTCTGTATTTTACATTTTTACTACAGCAGAAATGCGTGACATTTTTCAGTAGCGCCATCTCTTGGAAATAAATGAGAAAAATTGAAGCTATCGGTTAAATTCGCAGCCTGTGAGATAGACAGGTAGTGCTGTGCGATGCATCGATGTGACATCGATACATCGATGTTTTTGTTCGTCGATGCATCGACCTTCCGATGTTTTTGTTCGTCGATGTATCGACCTTCCGATGTTTTTGAAACATCGATCCTGAATCGATGTTAGCAATATGTGAATTTCGATTCATCGATGCATGCAGTTCATTCTTTGTTCCTAATG